TATATATATATTATCAAGCGGTAGGACTAAGTAGATTATTAGACTGGTTTACCGAAGGAAATCGGAAATTGTGGGTGTCGGTGGAACAGGCAGAGGTGGAAATACCCCTGACATCTATTCCTTGGATACCCCCAACTAAGCGAAATAAAAGCTGGACCAGGTCATTGGTAATTTGCTCAACATTAAATATATGGGATGTACTGGTAAGGAAGTGTGGGTTGTCAACATATATTGGTCCATTAACACCTATACTAGGGAACCCAGATTTTCCGTATGGTCTGAAGCGTAGAAGATTCTTAATCTGGGAGACCGCTAGACACTCTCCAATTATACAAGCCATAACAGAGAAAGGACTACACCCACTCTTAGAACTTCTCCCTATGAACCAGCCAAATGGAGGTAAATGGATGGAATATTTCCAACTGAAACACTTTCATAATGGCCTTTCTATAGAAGATAGAGTGTTCAGAGACTTAACTCCATTCGAGGTGATATTTTTAAACAATGCGGGAGATAAACATATGGTGTTCAAGCTATATAACGTAATACCAGAACAGATGTATCCAACATTTCCTTACTATACTAAAGTATGGGAACAAGAGATGGGACATGTATTTACAGAGGATGAGTGGAAGAAGATTTTCTTCCTAACTCCTGCTTTAACCCAGGAAATAAATTTGAAAGTATTAACAATATGGTATAGATGTCCATTTAATCTATATAAGATGAATCCTAAAAATTCCAAGCTGTGTTGGAGGTGCTTTGGGGAAGATGGGACGATGTTACATATCTGGTGGTCGTGCCAGTTGATAAGAACATACTGGAAATCAATCTTGGAGCTTGCTCAAGAGCTAACGGGACTACATGGATAGGAGACACCTGAGGTTGCTATGTTGTCTCTACACCATGGCTCAATTGCTGCATTGAAAAAAGGTCTCCAAGTCCGATTCTGGCAGCTGCAAGGGCAGTAATACCAAGACACTGGAAATCAACCAGTCCCCCTCAGATTTCGGAATGGGTAGAGGAATTAAATAATGTTATGCGATCTGAAGAGCTTACAGCTCGTCTATATGATAGACATACGCTATTTATGGAGAGGTGGAGCCCTTGGAGGGATTTTATGAGTTCATTAGAGATTCTTAGATATCTATAGGGGACATGATGAAGAAGCTGAGAGGAGAAGAAGTAGAGGAGGAGAGGGGTGAAGAAGAGGGAATAGGAAAGGGAAGGAAAAGGGGAAAATAATATCAAGAAGCTGATCTGATCTGCTAAGTAAATTCTCCTATTTAATTCTCCTTTTATCAGATATATTTATAATACCTCAGTGGATTTGTAGGTATTGGCAGTATACATGTAGAGGAAATGATATGACCTGGATAATATATAATATATGTACTATGTTAAGTGCTAGGTATATGAATTGTTTCTGTTGTTGTATTTTTGTGATTTGTGAAACTGGAAAAATTAATAAAAGAGATATTAAAGAAAAACAAAATCACTTGGAAGGTTAACTACGCAGTTAACCCTTTACAAACAGTAGCTGCCACCATGTTTTTTAACCATGCACTATTCATAGCATGTGCTGATTCAATTCTGGCCTTTTAAACAATTTCTGTATCATTAATTGCAACACCCAGAAAGGGATGTAACAATTAGAATGGATAATCCAAGCTAAACATATTATTAAAAAAAAAAAAAACGCATAAGCAGAGGTTGCCCTCATTGAGGTGACCGAGCCCTCCTCACATCCAAAGCATCACTATAAGTCAATGTAGCCTCCCGTTACATGTGTGGAGGAATAGGGAGGTCTGGGAGTTAGAAAGAGACTGGTTCATGCCCAACTTTTCTATGAAAAGACACACTTTGCAATAACGTCAGCTTCCTGTGTTTCTATACTTCTAGATCCACTGATTGTTCTGACCGCTGTTTTCACCTAAATCTGAACTCCAGCTTTAAAAATATAAATAAGTTCTCACCTGTGGGGATTTTTTGGAATCTGGAAGCCTCCTACAGAATAAGGTGAGCCCCCATACATCCACACTGCCCCTCCTAGGGTAATGAGTAATGGGGTACATAGTACCCCTTAGTTACTAATTCTGGGGAAAAAATCTTTTATTTAGAAACAAATAAATAAGCAATGCCCTCCATGTAAATCCAACATCCATTCTGACAACCCACCACTTGACTGTGCTGCCGCACTGCTAATCCTATTGCAAGTTATACATCCCCAACCAGCCGCTGTATGTTATAACATCAGCTAGGGATCCTGGGTGAAGTCAGTGACCATTTTTTACCAACATCGGCTGGGGGTTCGGGCGGGCGGATGAGCAAATGGTTTGTTTGTTTCCCCATTCGCCAAACTGTGAACAACATGGGTTTGTTCAACCCAAATCAGAAGCTAATCCCTACTGACAATGTTGCTCCTCCATTGATACATTACAGTAATCATTGTCACCCTTGGACAGGATGTGTGGTACTGACAGGATGCCCAGGTAAGTAAAAAAAAAGCATGAAAAAAGAACATTAATGCATCTGCCACATCTAAGGAATGGTAAGTTGGACTAGATTACATTTTTGTTCTTGGGTTTAGATACACTTGAAGATATCAGCCATTTCATGACACTGCACAGTGAAAAAAATCATAGCTTATTTGTGTTCAGAATTAAAGTGGCATTAAGGGCAAAAGTCCCCCCATCACAGTGCTAATGTAAGGACTTACCTTAAATGATGCCTCTTAATCTGATCTTCTTTCCTGTAGTTTTTAGCTGTCCCTCGATCCAGAGCTGAGTCCTCTATCCCCCTCTTCGCTCATGTCCCTCGCTGCTCCATAGACTTACCTTGTGTCTCTCCTTGTCTCCCGCCGAACATCTGAACTGCGCATGCCCCCGTCCCAAGATGCTTTGCCTGAGACATTTTCAGATGTTCGGACGGGAGCGTGCGGCGGAGACACAGGTAAGTATTAACCCTTTGAAAAAGTTTTTTTTAATCGTTTTGCATATATCTACTGCTAGCTGGCAGGCGATATATGCAAAAACATGCAAGCGTTTAATAACCCTTTAATTGTATAAGGAACTTTACAAATAATTTCACAAAAGCTGAAATATTCACAGTATCAGTATGACACAAAGCTTTGATTTTACCTTGAGTTTTATTTCTCTCCATGCACATGCTACTTTTGCTCTTTGAGTATAAATAATGAAAGGCAAACATTTACCAGGATATCTACTAGGTGAGCTTCCAGGAAAGACTTAAAAATCCTATGCAGTTTCTAAGAACTGTTAAAATAAGTAAAGCTTTGGAACTAAAATATCTAAATATTGTAATTTGCTACTGTTAGTATCATTTCAAAGAAGCTAAACAGAAGAAACAAAGGCTTGTTTAACGATTGCTGTAAAACTAAAATGAAAACATCCAGCAGCTGTCACAGGGCACAAAGAGTGAACACTGAAAACAGTGGTTTCATTTAATGAATAGGAAACTCCCAGCACCTCTTGATATATCCCAGTACTGTATAGACCGAGCAAATCAGCTAAAAAGAACCCTTTAATCGTTGATGTGAATTATTACCTCTTCAAGCGTTTTTATGACATGCCAGTCTTGGTAGTTGATGTATGGTGCACAGACATACTTATTATGGGACACATTTATAAAACAAGCAGGATGAAAAACAGGCAGTTTTTGTGGATTGTGCATATTATTTAAACATATCTATACCCTTTTACTTTTTAATAGAATTGTTAAACGTTAGAACCCCTGTCAGGTTTATACTTCTATCTGGGACTCCATTAGATAGATTGCCCCTCTATGCCTGTTCTGGGGACAACCTTTTACCAGACAGGAAGTGAGGGAAAATCTGCACTAGGGAAACGGACAATAAAAAGCCGACAGAGGTTATATTGTCGCCCTACTTCACTTAAAAATGCATTTGTATTTCTGTCTGTGTTGCTGTTATCCTTTGACTTCAGAATAACCTGACAAGAGTGCCAATCCTATACCACTCTATCTAAAACTAAAAAAGGGTTTTGGGTATAGATACACTTTAATATAAACAGTATATGTTTATGTTTTTAATACTTTGGTTTATACAGGATCACAGTGATGCATTTCATATTGCTATGTTAGAGATCCGGAGGGCTGTGCGAGGTCTCAAGTGGGATGTGGAGGGTTTCAGGTGGACTGCAAGTCTCCCTCTCCTTGGCCATGTCCATCTCCTGGCCAGGAGACGGGACCATTAAAGTCTACAGTATATGGCCAGCCGAGGAAGCACTGTGGTGCAGGATGTAAATTGCAAAATCATGCCCATCCGATCTTGACAAGTACGGATCTGAGAAGGGGGAGAGAGGATTTTTTTAGGTCAGAAGGTAATTGCACTTTGTTTTAAAGTGCACTTATCCTGTAAACAAGCTGCTATAAGGCTATGAGCAAGCTTTAGCACTACTTGCTAATAGATTGTGACAGCCAGCTATACCATTATTACCTGCGTATAACATTACCAAACTGGAGCTGGAGGTTGTTTTACAGTCTTGAAGAAAACTGCTCAAAGCATTCTGAA